GGAATAGGTGCACAGTGGCTAGGACTGATACTAGTTTTCTTCCTTTGTATGTTACTGAAGACTGAAAAGGAACAGTGTAAATTCTTTTTGCTCCAGATTCACAGGAGGGACTGGGTGTTACAATGCTAAATTCCACCCTGCTATCTAGTGGAATTTACAACCCTTTGTGGGGAACCTTGACTCCCTGTACAATGCATGGGTGGAAATAAGCATATCAGAGGATCCAAGATGCACACAAAAGTGACTAAAAAAATGCCAGGGAAAGGGGCTGTGACTTGGTCCTGCCTCATAGAGGGACCTTGGCTCCTACTGCCACCCCATGAACTCTGCTTAAGTGTCTAAAAAAAGATGATCAAGATACTGCTTCTGCTACTCCTAACACTAATCTAGTGGTTAGGGCGCATACTCAAAATATCTGTGACTTGGGTTTAAATATCTGCCTGATTCAGAGCACGCCTCGACTAAGATCTCCCGGCTTTGTGTGCCCTAAATAGTGGTCTAGAAGTTAATCTGAGATGGGGCTCTCAGTATCTCCTGTTGTAACTGTTCAAATTTGCACCATTATTACAGATTTACTGACTAACGAGTAGAGAACAAATTAATAGTCCAGGATTTAGGGCATTTAAGATAAGTAGGTTATGGGGGGATGGGTTGTTCAAATGGCAGTCTCTGTTCCTACAAAACCTACGTGCTGATGAGCTTTGGAAACATATTTTTAAAGTTTACCTGTAAAACAAGGAATGACCAACGTCCTATTCAGTAATGTGTCAAATATCCAGTTATGGAGCTGAGCTTTTAAAATTGCTTTGGATCATTGCAGAACACCCTATTTTTTCATTTTTTACGCACCTCTGTAATTGTAGTTGGATGTTATTCCTAAAATCAAAAGCTTTCCAACTGGTCACAGAAGTAGTGAGGAGAGACACTTCAGAGCCTGACAAGTTGTCACAGCCTCTAAGGGCATGAATATACAAAAGAATACCTGCTGATGCAAATAGGCATCAGAGCAGTTGTTAATAAAACTGGGATGTAGAATCTTTCCCCAGCCATATGGGCCAAGTCTTTGCTTTTGTATATTGGTGCAGTTAGAGCAGGGGTGGGCAAAATATGGCCTGTGGGCTGTATCCAGCCTGCCAATTGATCCTATGCAGCCTGCTGCCACAAACATGAGGAGGGAGGGCTGCAACCTGTGCGCCCCACTCTGCCGCAGGGCCGGCCCACACAGCACAGACTCCTCTGCCCCTCTCCTGCCCAGCTTCCTGTTGGTGCTGCGCAGTCTTGGCATCGTGGCAGCCACTGTTAGCCAGGCCCACATGAGACAGGTGTGATGCAGCATGCCAAGTAGCCCTTTAACTCACCCATCATGACAAGCCACTGCTGTGGCACCACTAGGAATTGAGTTTGTGCTGGCCACAGCAGGGCACTAGGCCCCCGGGCAGCTGCCCCTGACTTTCCTGGTGCAGTGCGAGGCGGACAAGTGGGGTGGCTACTTGGTGTGCTGCCCTGTCCCATGTCCTGCATGTCTCTTCCCTTCGCAATTGCGCTGTCCAATGCGGGCTCGGCTGCTGGGGTGCCAACAGAAAGCCAGGCAGGGAGGGAGGGATGTGGGGGGGTGGAGAAGTCTGTGCACTGCATGCAGTAGGGAGCAATTTGAACATTTTGGAGGGAAGTTGGTTTTTTGTTTTTTTTCCTACCTAGAGGTTAAATTTTAGATATGAGTAAATAAGTGATTTAGATATGAGTAAGTGATACCACCTCCCGGCCGTGGCCAGTGAGGCAGAGGCATCCATTGGTATCTTCTTCCTGCAGCAGCTCCCTAAATCCCCTCAGGTGGCCGTGCAGCCCTAACTTAGAGGCTGTGACAACACACCGTCTTCAGCTGGCTCTCTGAAGCGTCCCTCTCTCTCCTCCCCACGGCTGCAGTGATTTCGGTTTTAGGATTAATGCTCAGTCACAGCCAGGAGTGAAACGAAATGAGTGAAACTAAAAAACCTGAGACCAGAGGGTGCTCTTCAGCCACCCAGAGCTCAGTGCCTGCACCGGGTATCGGAGGCTCCTCATGCAATCGCGCAGACCCACTGTCTCGTTTGGCAGGTGGCCCTTGCCCAGGCGGGTCGTGTCCAGGGCTCGCGGCATTTCCCCCCTCAGTGCCCTGCCCCTGCCGCCGGGTCACCTCAGGGGGCAGCGCCGCGCCAGGAAGCGAGGGGAGGCGCGGACGCGCCGCGGCTGTCACCGACACGGCTCCCCACGGGCAGGGGGACGGGGACGAGGACAGCGCGTCCCGCCCGTGCCAGGCGCCGGCCCCGGGAGACACGTCCCAGCCGCGCC